GGTCAAGCCAGAATGAAGGCTCAGGAAGTGTTTAAGCTCACAGGCTTGCCTGGCCAGTGCTGAGCATCGACCTATGTCACAGTTCAATTCCCGGTCAGGGCCCATACCCGGGTTGTGGGTTAGATCCCCAGTGTGGGGGATGCAGGAGGCAGCAAATCAATCTCTCTCTCTCTCCCTCACCCTTCCTCTCTGAAATCAATACAAATATATTAAAAAATAAACTCTGTGAGCCTTGGTTTTGATTCATATCTGTAGGATGGGAATATTAATAATAGTATGACCTCTTATGGCTTATGAGAATGAAATGATTGTTTATGTCTCATGTCAACACCTGCTGTGGGAAGGCCTGCTTATGCTCACCAATATTTGCAGTTTCCTCTTCTTCCTGGGCACCCTGCTAGACTACATTTCCCAGCCTCCCCTGTGGCTAGGTGTGACCATGGACTGAGTCTAGGCCATGGAACTGCAAGAGAAGTGATCTATCTGGCCTCTTATATCCCCTCCATGTTCACTCCCCCCACATCCCATCAACCTGTGTTGTGAGGGAGAAATAAAGTTTCGTTTGTCAGAGCCATTAGCTACCCTGATGTGCACTGGTACATACTAACCTCTCAGTTGAAGTTAGCTGCTATCTGCTCTAACCTCTCTCTGCACCACTGAGCCACACCGGCCAGGCAAGATGTTTCTAATTTTAAAAATTAGTCAATTTGTTTTTATTTTTTAAATTAGAAAATAATTTTTAAAAAGATAAAACGCATATTCCCACACACAAAAAAAGATAAACGCATATCCCCACAACTCAATGTGATCAAATCTTAACATTTTGCTATATTTGATTTGTGTTTTTTTCCTAAAGAAATAAAGCATTATGGATGAAACTGAAAAGAAAAGAAAAAAAGGACATGATGCATCTAAAGCACTTAGCATAGTGCCTGGCATATGCAAAGCAGTCAGAAATGGTCGGTAATTCCTTTAAAGTTTTATTTTGAAATATGTTTACAGTTACAGAGAGTTTTAAATTCAGTGGAGACATTTCTTGTATACCCATCACCCAGCTTTCTCTAATGTTAACTTCTTACTTAACCATGGTGTAGTTATCAAAGAAATTAAAATTAGTGTAACGCTATTAGCTAACCACAGATTTATTTCAGATTGCACCAGTTTTTCTACTTGTGTCCTTTTTCTGTCCCAGAATCCAATCCAGAATACCATGTTGCATTTAGGTCAGCTAATTTTTAATCATTCATTCATTCACCTACCAACGATTAGTCCAAGACTGGTGTTCTGAGTAGCAGACAATGCCAGGAGCCCCTGTACTATGTACTAATGACAATAATCACAGATCTCATTTTTGAAAGCTTGCCACATGTTGTACAAAGAACTTTCTATCTTCCCCACTTAATTCTTACAACAATCCTACATGTTGGTTATTATTACTCCCACTTTGCAAATGGGGAAACAGAGGTGTGGAGAGATTAACTGAGGTCACACACCTGGTAGAGGGCAGAGGTCGGATTTGAATCCAGGTAATTTGCCCAAAGTCATGCTCCTGACAATACCCCATGCCTTTCATGAGGCTGCTCTAGAAAAGAGGGGAAGTCGATGCATCAGCACAGACTTTCTGGGGCAAGTGTAGCAGGCAGGTAGGCTTCCTGGTGGAGGGACCCGTCAGGAGTTCAACCTCTGTTTCCTGGGGTATTCTGAAAAACGTTTGGCTCTCTCACCACCTGCTTTCTCAGGGCTTCCCTCCCTCTTTCCCCTGGAGCCCTAGACTAAGCCTAACCCTCAGATCCCCAAGAAGGTGACCTGCAGAAACTCAAGCCCCAGGGTGTGGCTCTGCCTCAGCCTCTGGGCATCCTACCTCAGCCGGCAGAGGCAGGTGGCTCACACTCAGAGACCCAGATGTTAATTTAGAGCCACTATTTTGGTTCCCGCTGACAGTGCATGAGCAAGAAATAGCAACAAGGGCTGAGGTGTCAGGCACAAGGGGGATCCAAGAGAATTGGGGTGGGCAGATTGGGCTGCCAAGTGGGGACTAGCTTTGTCTGCTCTGGATAATTATGGCCTCAACAACCTGAGGATGAACTGAGAGTTATTTTTAGTCCCTCGGCTGGAGAGGGACTCTGCCTGGTTGGGCACAGCAGCAACAGCCCTTCTGCCATCTTCCAGCTTTGGAAAAGGCCCAGAGAGCACCCAACAGCCAGCTGGGACCAGGGCCAACCAAATGCCGCAGGGAGGAGAGCAGAGGAGCTGGCTGAACAGTACCTGCCCTTTGAGGCCAGAGCCCAGAGAGCCTAGATCCAGGACGCAGTATTTCAGTCCCATTTCATCTTCTCTGAGCCTCCGTTTGTTCATCTGTAAAATGGGGGTATTCATCCCTACATCCCAGATCAGGCAGCCTGTGTTTGTACAGTTTATAAACTGCAGGAGTGAATGGGGGCTGAAACACAGCCTGCACTCAGTCCCTCAGTTGAGCATTCTGACTTGCAGCTCTGTCTGCTTGGAAGAGAGACCACCTGCCCTTTGAGGCCAGAGCCCAGAGAGCCTAGATCCAGGACGCAGTATTTCAGTCCCATTTCATCTTCTCTGAGCCTCCGTTTGTTCATCTGTAAAATGGGGGTATTCATCCCTACATCCCAGATCAGGCAGCCTGTGTTTGTACAGTTTATAAATTGCAGAAGGAGTGAATGGGGGCTGAAACACAGCCTGCGCTCAGGCCCTCAGTTGAGCACCCTGACTTGCAGCTCTGTCTGCTTGGAAGAGAGACATTTTCCTTGACCAAGCCCAGGAGTGCTTCAGCCTGGTTTGCGCAGAGGGGCCACCTTTTTTGATTTGTACAAAGAAAAAGCAATGATTTTCTGGAAAGAGACCAGATGGCAGAGAAGGGGGAAAGCCCCTTAAGCCTCCAGAGAGCCTTGGTGAGGAGGAGGGAGAGGGAATCAGAGGTGGCCCAAGGGGACAAGGTGAACTGGGAAGAGAGTGTCAGGGTAGCCAAATGATGAGATGCAGCAGGTGGAGCTGGGAGGAGAGCAGGTTCCCTCTGGAGGAAGGCCCAGTCCAGAGCAGCTGGGATCCGCTCCTCCTGGTGGCTCTTCAGAGAATGCTGAGTGGCAGTGGCGCCATCCTGTGGCTGCTGGTCCACGGAAACACAGCTGTACCTAAGGCAGGGCTATAGCCAGAGAGGGGGAGCCCTGGGGAGGGGCACCCAGCCCAGCGAAAGCCTGGTCAGAGACCGCAGATGGAAGAGGAGGATAGGGCACAGGCGATTATAATCCAGAGCAACAGGAGATATCGGAGGTGGAAGGACATTGTGGTAGCCCGCGAGCAGCTCTTCTCTCAGGTCGGGGGTCTAGGAGAGCTTCCCAGGAGAGATGTTTAAGCTGAAGCCTCAAGGAGACCGCAGTGGAGAGTGGAGAGAGTGGTGCCTTCAGGGATGCAACTGGGAGCGGGTGCAAGTTAGCAGAGGTCCGAGAGTGTGGTGCATTCTGGGCACTGAAAGTAGGTTTACTGTTTCTTAATTACGTGGTATGTATGAGAACAGAATTGAAGGAGATATGGCTGGAGGTCTGAGAACTTCTCAGATAATGAAGCATCTTTATACTTCGTCAAGGTCTTTGTACTTCGGGGGCTGTAAGCAGAGGAATGACGTGGTCAGATTTTTATGTTGGTCAGATGTTGGCATGCCACATGGAGACTGGGGGGACCAGGCTGGAGGCAGAGGTTGTTGTAAGAATCCAGGTGAGAGGTGAGCTTGGCTTGAACTAGAGTAGCCTCAACAAACATGAAGTTAAGTGAGCAGATCCAAGTTGTATCTGGGAGGAGGAATCGATAGGCTGATGGATGAGAGGCAGGAGTCCAGGTGACACCCATCACTGACTTGGGTAACAATGGCTGTCAGACCAAGAGGAGAAGTGGTCTGGGTGGAGGGGTGATGGAAAGTTCAGCTGAGTTTGAAGTTCAAGGGCAGTATCCACATGGAGGTGGCCAGCGAGATACAGAGGCTCTGAGCTCAGAAGAGAGAACTGGGCTGGCCACAGGGATCTGGGAGTCATCAGCCCAGAGATGTGAACTGAGGCTGTGGGAGCAAGAGGACCCGTCCCCCCCCCCCCAAGGAGGGCAAGGACACTGAGGGGGAGATAAGGCGGAGGACAGAACCCTAAGAAACTGTGGCCTTTATGAGTCAGCTGGAGAAGGCAAGGGCTAAATAGGGCAACCAGAGAGGGATAAGGAAACGCAGCCCAATTATAATCCTCATAATACCTTGTACCACCTACAGGTGAGGAAACTGCAGGCTTTAGTATTGTTTTATTAGGGCACAAGTACAGAGAAACTCAGAGCTAAATGTCTTGCTCCATCATATAACCACCCTTCGCCTAGGATTTCTGGGGTATCTCCTCCTCAACTCCTGTCCTCCTGTTTAGTGCCTCAGTTTTCCAGGTGTTGTGATTTTGAAAGTAGAGTGTAAATGAAAAGATTGACAGGATTCAAGAGGTGCTATTTGCACACAATGAGTCGGGGAGGGGGTATTTTGTTTTTTATTTTTTGTATTTAGAGAGGGAGGAAGAGAGAGAGAAACATCAAGCAAGAGAGACACATTGTTCAGCTGCCCCCACCCATGCACCTGACTAGGGATCGAACCCATGACCTTCCAGTGCACAGGACGACACGCCAACCAACTGAGCCACACTGGCCAGGGCCTCATAGTGAAGAAAGTGATGCCTTGAACTTTGGTCTTTACTCAGGCAACCTCGCTCTTGGTGGTGGTAGGAGGACAAGATGAAGAAAGGTCAGCTAATTCTCAGCACCTGTGCTCCACTCCTTCCTCTTGCACCCGAGGTCGGCATCTCTAACTGACCTTCACCTGCCCTCCTTCTTCATGAAGCCTTGACAGGGCCTCAGACCCTGTCTCTAGGCTGCCACTGAATCAGAGCTGGCAAGCCTTCTGGAATAGCGTGGCCAACCCTGGAGTGAGCCACCGCCCCACAAACCACCAGAAGGTCTCTTTATTATGATGAACCTTTTATTATAGAGAGAGACTGAACTCTTTTGCATAAAGAATCTCTGGATTGGGTCAGGGAAATCCACCTGCTAAAAGGGCACCAACCAGCTCTCCCTGCCTCTGCCTCCGCTAAGCCCCACTTGCTATGTTCATCTCAAGGTCACTGGAAACAGCAGAGGCTGCTGTCCCCTGGTGGGTGGGGCCACGCTAACCAGAGGGTCAGGGCTCCTGGCTGTCCACCAGGTCAGAGTCGCCCCGTCTCCCGCCCCAGTTGGTTGTCCAGAACCTGGAGCTGCCGGAGGAAGCCCGAGTTGGGGCAGATATCACGGTGGGTCTGCACCGTCTGGATGGCCTGCACCAGTGTCATGTTCTCGTAGATCATGAGGAAGGCCAGGACGACAGTGGCGGAGCGGCTCACCCCCATGGCGCAGTGTACCAGCACGCGGCCTGCAGGGAGACCCAACCCAGTGTCAGTTACCTGCCCTCGTACTACCCACCCATTTGGGATTCTGAAGTCCTTCTGGCCCTCCTTCAGCCCACCTGTCACAGTATCCTAGCATACTGACACTGTGTCCGGTGTCAGGTGGGGCAAATGAGGCCCAGAGAGGGAAAGGAACCCGCTCAAGGTCACACAGTAAGTTAGCGGAGGAGCTAAGGTTAGCAGCTGGGATTCCCTTCTCCTGGTTCAAGGTGCTTCCTCTGGCCTCCTGGAAACCCTGGGGAGTTGGTGGGGAGTGCGAGAGGAGGGTACTGTGGGAGTCCCCTGGGTTTGTGTCTCTTTCTGCCCAGTTCTGCCCTCTCCCCGTCCCTGCAGCCCTATGCCAAGGCTTCACTTTAGAAGCGTCTGCTCAAGAGCCTTTGCTAGATCCCATGCCTGCTACCCCCACCTGCTCTCTCACGGAGGGATATGGTTATACTGATGACCACACCGACCTTAGTTCTGTCTGTGATTGTTGGTGGCCAGGGAGTCTCTGAGGGCACGCTCACTAAATGGTAGTAGCTATTTGCACCATGGGTGGGAGGGTGCTGGAGAGGTTTGGGGCTCAGGACACACTCCCTATCGGTGCCGCTGGAAAATGGACAGCCCCGGCTCTCACCCACCCCACCTGCCCCCCACCTCCTCCTTCCCCGGAGCCCACCTTGGGGAACACTGAGGGCGGTTCGGATGTATCGGGCAACAGGCATGAAGTGGACACTGAGGTCAAAGAAGGGGTTGTCATCAGCCTCGATGCCATAGTACTCCAAGGGCATTCCATGATAGAACTTGGCACCTGTGTCCACTTGAAACTTGCCCGCGGCAACATTCACAATATGGGTGATGCCCAGCTGGGCCAGCTTGCTCTTGTCCCGGGCTGCGTACCTGGAGGGAGGGCACAGGGGAGGCTGGGAATTGGGAGGTGGGGGCAGGTCTGGCTGGACTGGAACTGTCCCCTTCCCTCCTCTGCCACTGCCATCAAGGGCAGAGGCGGGAACAGCGAACTGGTCCCGGGTGAAGGGTCTCCTCTAGTTAGAGTTCAAGACTCCCTTCACTCGGACCAACTTTTCTGGAGAGCATTTTGGCCACAGGCATCAAAAGCCTTTGCCCAGCCGATGTGGCTCAGTGGTTGGGCATTGACCTATGAACCAGGAAGTCACGGTTCGATTCCTGGTCAGGACACATGTCTGGGTTGTAGGCTCGATCCCCAGTGTGGGGTGGCAGGAGGCAGCCAGTCAATAATTCCCTCTTATCGTTGATATTTCTATCTCTCCCTCTCCCTTCTCTGAAATCAATAAAAAATATTTTTTAAAAAAAATGTTCACATACTTTGTCCAGCAAGTCTCCTTCTAGGGACTTAAAGAAAGAAACTGGGGGGGGGGGGGGGAATCACTAAATATCCTTTAATAGGTGGCTGAGTGTGTAAGGTAAATGACATACTATGCAACCACTGAAATACAGTAGATACAGGTGAACAAGGAAGGGTGTTCATTCACCAATGCCACCCCAATAAATGTAATTAAAAAAAGAAAAGTGCTCATGCTATATTGAGAACCTATGGAAAATGCACAATACAAAACAGAACGTTGTTTAACAAGGTTTTAAAAATATGTAGTATGATTCCATTAAAAAAAAGCTTTCGATATAAAGCAGATTACAAAACAGGATTATAAAGTGATACCATTTGCTGTAAAAATAAAAAAGAAATGTGGAAAAGCAGTGTGTGTGTGTGTGTATGCACTTTTTAAAAGTCAACAAGGATTTTATTACTCTTTATCTGTAGGGAGGATAGCATATTTGCCATATTGTTAACAAGAACCCTATTCTCTAAATATTAAGGAAATTTTCTAAAATCCACATATATTGGTCCATATGTTTAAATTTTAAGGAAAAAAAAAAGAGAAACAATGACTGAGTTCTACTCTCTCTATGTACCCTATGTAACTCGTGTGTGTTACCAGGACACATGTACCAGAATGTTTCTAGGATCACTGTTCATAGTAGCCAACAAGTGGGAACAACTCAAGTGTTTGTATACAATAAAATGGATAAACTATGTGGTATTTGTACAATCAAATATTTTTACAGCAATAAAATAATGAACTGTAACTACACAGAATAACATGAGTGAATCTTACAATTTTGCACAAATTGTGTCATGCACAAAACACACACAATATTATTCCATTCATCTAACTTTAAAAGATAGGCTAAACTAATTATATAGTTAGGTATATGAATGGTAAAAGTATAAATAAAAGCAAGGAAATAATTATTTCAACACTTAGTGATTGTCCACAGAGAAACAGTTATAGCAAGAAGGGTTCAGAAGGTATTTCTGAGGCACAACTAATGTCCTATTTCTTGACCTGGCTGGTGAAACTGTTCATATGCACTCTATGCACTTTTCTTTTGAGCGTTCTACTTCCACAAGTAAAAAAGTAATTTCTATAAAAGGGAAGAAACATGTGGGAAGAGATGATGGGAGGCCCCTGGAGGGCTCTGGGAGAGGCTCCCCTTCTGCTCCCCGCTCTCCCACGTGGGTCGGACTTACGCATCTCCCAGGAAGAGGTTGGGCCAGACCTCGTCGATGTGGCTCAGCATGGTGGCCCGACGGACCCACAGCAAGCGCTGCAGTGAGGACAGCGTGGGCGGCTGGTAGGGCGACACAGAGACTGTCCCGTGGATCTTGGGTCTCCGGAGGTCCTGCTTCTGCAGGGAATCCATCCTGGAACAGGGTGGACACCGCGGTGGCTAGAGGCAAGCTCCCAGAAGGTGGGTCCGGCTGGCCCGGAGGCCCAGGTGGTACTGGGATAGTGCGGGAAGGGCTTCAGCTAGTTCACGTGAGGTTACTAACCAACTCAGCTGGGCTGAGGCCGAGACCATTTCCCCAGGAACGAGGGAAGCAACCTCTTGCTACCCTCTCTCCCACCCTCTCCAGAGGCCCTTGAGGCCAGAAACTTTGGCGAAGGGGTCTTTGGGGCTCCCTGTTTGTGGTGATGAGCCAGTGCAGATCCGACCCCTTAAGTCGCTGGTCACTTGGGACTTTGTAGGGATGGAGGCCTCGGATGGCTGTGGCCCCCTCCGCCTGGGCAGCTCATCTCAGCCCCCTCCTCTGCTACCTCCAGGGCTGATCTCCATGTTCAGGTGCTTGGAGAGCAGAGTCAGTCTCTGGAGTGAGGGGCCTGGGCTATGAAGGACATCTGTTGCATTTCCACACGGAATGAGCTAATGCCTCTCAGGGGCCTGGGACCTCACTGTGGTAGGTCCCTATTTTACTTGGGAGAAAGCTGAAGGTCAGAGAGAAAAATTGTAAGTGCCACCCACAGCCATAGGGCTGATGTGTAGCGAGGCTGTGGTTTCAATCCAGTTCTCTGACCCCGCAGTTCAGTCCCCAAGTCTTCCAGTTACTACCTTTGGGGACTCCAGAGAGTGGTCAACAGCCCATTCAACTCTACAGGGAGCCCGGCGCTGCGGGTACGCCTCTGCCTGTAAGTCCTGGGACTTGCCTCCTTACCCCGATGACTCGGGCCAACGCTGCGGGTCAGGCCTCACCCAGTTGGGGTGAGTTGTCTCAGGAATCAGCTGGCTGGGGGGGTCCGGGCCCCTGCTGAGCTGAGTGGTCAGTGGCACCAGAACATGGGTCTGGTGTCGTCCTGGGAAGGAGTGCCTCTCTTGGCTAACTGCCCCTGGCCCTCTCAACCAGTAACTAGGGAAGGTACAAACTGGAAAAAACATCTTTTCTCTTTGGCAGGCGGTGCTAGGACCAGAGAGAGAAATAGGCACCCAGGAGGCCACTGGCTTGGCCAAGCTCACCCAGCGGGCAGCTGGTGGGCAGGGCGGAAGGGAAGACCCGGCTTTCCCCTTCATCCCCCACGTGACTTCTCAGGGCAGGCTGAGTGGCCTGCCACCTACCTAGGGCATGGTCTAGGGCCAGGAGTGGGGGAGTGAGGGCAAGGACAGAGCTAAGCACATGAGCGGAATGGGGCTGGGGCAGGTTCCGCCCAGAACACAAATGCTGTGAAGCGGCTAGAATTCCAGGCCCTCCTCTTGGAGCCCACG